CCCCTCCGCCCCGGGATTTATTTATGCCACTGGACAGTTCTGGTCACATTAAAGCCGCGGTTCACCTTCTCGAGGACTTTCATCTCGGGAAGTTTTATGACACTTTGTGAATGTGCAAAGTTTTTAATTAGGCCCGCTAGACAGCCCGGGGCGGCGGCAGCGCCAGGAGTCTTCACGGTCTCCCTGCTTTACAGCACAACAAGCCGCTCTACTCCTTTGAAGACAACGCCGACTATGTGTACGACGTCATGTGGTCCCCCGTGCACCCCGCGCTCTTCGCCTGCGTCGACGGGATGGGGCGCTTGGACCTCTGGAACCTCAACAACGACACCGAGGTGAGCGGCGGCGCGGGGGGCGGGGGCCGGGCGGGGCGCGGTCGGCCGCCCTCGGTCTCCTCCTCTCTCTGCAGCAGTGGCCTTTGGGGATCAGACCCTCCGGCTGCAGCCGGGCTGCCGACCCCCGCCCTGGAGGGAGCTGGCAGATGCACCGGCCAGAAATCACTTCATCTCACCTCATCCCGAGGCCCGGGCAGACGCCGGGCGGCTGGCGACCCCTTTTTGCAGAAAGCAAAACGCTGCCCCCCGAAGGGAAGGACACGCAGGCGTGTTCCAGGCGCTGAAATAACTGTTGGCCAACGTTCGGAAAGGGAAGCGTTAGTGGGCGCTGGTTTTAGATCAGGCTTTTAAAAGGGCGAGTTGTCCGTTTTCACTCTTTGCACGATTCCTGTTTTGAATTCATCCAAGAGGACGCTGCTGGCTGTTGATGTTCAGACCCAGACCCAGCCTCCATTTAAGTTTTGCAAGGTCAATAACCCTTGCCTAAGATGCTGACCTCACAGGCAGGCTTTTCCACAATAGTTTCTAACTCTGAACATGCATGTGAAACACTATTTTTTTTTTAGTCGGGATTTTAACGTCACATTTACAGTATACTTCACAACTGAAAAACTAGCCATGTGGTTTTTTTTTAAATAAGCAATTGACAATAAGGAAGTATTCTTTTTAAAAATTAGGATATATAAATTTATGTTTTTAAAATTATGCTATGCGATTTTTCCTTTTTTCCACTCTCGAAATTATCGAGATCCTCATTTGGCTACGTGGGGTTTGTAAAAATAGGAGTATTCAGTGTCTTTCAATTTAATAAAAGAAAATAGACTCTTGATCATTTCCTGGTCTCTGATTCAGGGCAGCTCTCCATAAATAAGAATGGACAGGTAAGAGGAACAAGTGTTGCAAACTATATGTCAAGTGGAAAACAAGAGAAGCTCTTTTGAAGTGCCTGAGCAGGAAACAGCGCAGCCTTTTTAATTAGGAAGCCCACAGCTGGGGCTGAGGAGGGGGGCTCCCCTGGTGCTTTTTGTGGGAGGGGGCAGGGAAATATCCTTCGGGTGGTGTTATTGAGTTGGTCTATCTTGAAAGATTATGGACAACCTATAACCAATGCCAAATAGTTGTCTTTTTAAAATATTTCAGTTTAAGTCTATTTTTCCTTTTGGCTACGCAAACGATGTATGGGACAAGCATGAGGTTGCGTAATCAAGCATCTCTGAAAATAATCGCAAGGCATGGGTACGAGCAATGCCCATCTTCTGGGATTTCGAAATGTTTATAACATCATTGCTCTTAATAGGAAGATGTTATTACTCCACATTGTAACAGTTTCCCAGAGTTTTTCATCACTGTTGATTAAAATCATATTGCCTCTATCTGCTAGAATAAACTCACTTAAAGCAACCAAAAAACACACATTTTCCAGATTAACTGAGGAGAACCCCCTGTATCAGAAATCAGACTTATAGAGGTGATGTTTAGGTAAGAGGTGACGTTTAGGTAATTCCCAACTACAATGCAATGGGAGTGAGTGTTCTCTAGACTCCTTAGTAATTCCTGTGTAACTGGGGTTTTTTGGTTTTTTTTTTTAGGGAGGGGGGATTTAATCAGCTTTTTAGGTAAAATGAAATGAATGTCTCAACATTGCCAAACGTCATTTTCCCCCTTCTTTTTCTCTAGGTATCAAGAAGCAACCACATAAAAGTGTTATAGCTCAGTATTTAAAAAAAAAAAAAAAAATATTGATTCTTTAGAGAGAAGGAGGGAGGGAGAGAGAGAAAAACATCAATTTTGTTCCACTTATTTATGTGTTCATTGGTTGCCTCTTGTATGTGCCCTGACCAGGGATCAAACCTACAACCTTGACCTATGTATGGGACAACGTTCTGACCAACTGAGCTACTGGCTAGGGCTGGAGTAAGCTGAGTGTTAAGAGCAGAAAAGGTTTGCCCAGCTGGNTATTTAAAAAAAAAAAAAAAAAATCATTACTGGGCATGTGAGCCGTTTAGTTTTGTGGTAAACAATTTTGCTTTCACAGTAATAGTCGATATATAGAGTCTGGTTCAAATCCAGCAACGAACTGAACACTTTTGAAAACCCTTAAATTATTTTTGCCTTCTATCAAGTTGAACAAGAATTTTCAAATGTTTGTGAGATTAGCTTTGTTAAAAAACAAAACAAAAAACAAACCTGAAATCCCAGTGTTTTGTTCTTATTCAAATTACTGTGCTTTTATACCAAGTTGTCCCAACTGCTCCTATGCAGAGATAGTTTAAATTCACCTACCACAGTACCACAGACCTCTGCACGAGGCAGTAATTGATGCTGTATAGTCCTGTCTTTGCAATTAAAATGATTGAGCCTTAAAAAAAAAAAGTGAAAATATTTGTAAAACTGAAATACAGGAGTAAGAGAGTGACAATATAAGGATTATTTTCATTATAGATTCATCAACTTTTGAAAGGTCATTACTGGTCCAGCTAATAAAATATATTTTGTCATTCCCTTCATACATTTGATAATTTATTAGCACATATTATAGGCTGTGTTAGTCATTTTTTACCACTTATAATAGCTATGAAAATAAGGTATTTTTAAATGGTTAGAATATTAATCGATTCACTTTGCTACATTGCTTTATTCCAAATAAATAAAATTCTTCAATAGGTATTAGACATAATTTAAAATGTATCAAAAAATCAGGTTTTTTTGAGAGTGATTAATTTTTTATCATTCATATTAAGGTGAAACATTTTTATTCAACTTTTGAAATTGTTCATAGATAAAATCTGATATTGAATAGAGTTAGGTAAAGTATAATCCTGTTTGATTTCTCTAAGTTATGGAGTTAGAAATTAATTCTGAAAACTCTATAGCTGGATCTCAGATTTGTCTTGAGTAGCACACTAATAATAAAATGTATTGACAGAATAATGGCCCATCTAAATTCACAGTGTTTTGGCCTTCGAAAGGTTTAGTTAAAAATTCAGGCTCCAGCCTGCACAGCAGGTACCTTAATTGTAGAAATTGTGTATTTAAAAAAATAAACAAATAAATGAGCTGGGGACTTTTGTTTTACATTTTTGCTCACAACTGACATACCGTGATTTTAGGCGGGTAAAAGAATTTTTATTGATTTCAAGATTAAGTTTAAACATAGATTCTTACATACGATGGAGTTTTTATGGCTATTTTAAAGATAGGTATTGAGTCAATAATCTTGTATAAACAGATGGTTTCAATTCCTGAATCAGAGAATGCCAGGAGCGCTAAGGCCAGCGCATGTCGCGCTTCCATCCTAGCCCGACGTGTTCATAGACTCAGGTCTTAAACAGTGGTGACTGGATCTCCGTGGCCCTCTTTTCACTGCATTTTTTTTTTCTTTTTGTCTGAACATTTACCTTTTTATTTTTTAATGGCCCGTTGTCATTTCTTATTCACCGTTCTTGTAGAAGGTTCGGAGACCTGCTCTTTATATGAATAAACTTCCAACTTTAAAGACAAGAGTTTTCACAACCAATGATGGAAAAGGGGCAGGCCCACTGCAATTCTTTTCTCAAGTACTAGGTTAAAGGTTCCTATAACAAATACTTCAGGTTACATGGGCACCTTCAGTTCACTCTAATAATAAATATTATTATCAGCGTTGTCAGATTTCAGGTGTTTAGTAGAGGAGATATGAGCCCTTTTCTGCAAGGAGGTGCTGCCTCCGTTCTATCAGGATATCACCCTGGGGACGTTTCCAAAGGTATGGAGTGCTTCCTACATCCTGGGACTGCCAGGAGCAGGACAAACAGAAAGAGAGGAAAAAACAGAAAAAGAGAATTTGAGGTTTGAAGTTTTTCACCTACATTTTCTTCTTCTGTCCACCCCCTCCCTGATGAGGTTTTGAGGGATCAATACATATTATTCCACCATATACCCCCCCCCTTCCTGCCTTTTATAGTATCCTTAATCTTGGTAAATCCTGAAATCTCTCTCCATTGATCCATAAATCAGGACCTGATCATGAAGTATATCACGTTGAGCTGCAGTGTTGGTCTGTGTGGTGGATGTGCCCCCTGCATAATCTGAAGAAATATTTATGTCACTCACTGCCCGTTGATTGTGGAAAAAGACTCTCCCTCTTTTCATTTCTCATTAAAGCGTCTCCTCTGTACCCCTTAGTACAGTGGAGCATATGATTTAAGAACAATGAATCCTTTGACTTCTGCACAGGGATGTATATTACTTCATGCACATGAAGGCAGTGGTGACTCATCCAGTTAAACGTATATTTAAATTCATATTCAGAGTTCTTTCGTAACCCCTTTGGCAGGTTCCAACAGCAAGTGTGGCCATTGAGGGGGCGTCCGCCCTAAACCGTGTTCGTTGGGCTCAAGCTGGCAAAGAAGTTGCTGTTGGGGACTCAGAAGGCCGTATTTGGATCTACGATGTTGGAGAGGTACTTTGTGTTCGTTTCTTTACTTCTGTATCTCGTTTGAAGACCTAGTGAAATTATTAACAAGACCTTGAGGGCCACAAGAGCCCTCTTGAGTGTGTTTGCAAATTTCCATTGACTTCAGTGGGAGTGTGGCAGGACTTCCTTAGGGCCTAATTTGGCCTCTGTCTCCACGCACAGGACGCTGTAGGTCACGATCCAGGCTCCCTTCAGGGCGCTGCAGAATTCCCAGCCACCCTGGGATGAAGCGTGGCACCTCCCACCAGCTTCGTGATAGGGCAAGCTTGCCAAATTCATCCTAACATTGAATCTGGAATTTGTTGTTTAGGTCGAAAAGTCAACTTTTCTTTGCTATGTTCCATTAAAATGTAAACTATTACTCTTTAATGAAAATGCAGCCAATTTAAAAAGCTGAGGTGAATCAGAATTTTGTACTGTTTTTATGGTACTCAAAGTTATTATATGAAATACAGACCTCTCGGTATATCTTGTTACATGGTACAGGCTGGCGCAAAGGTAGGTTTACAGTTGTGAGTCTGCGAAACAGAATTTATTCTTGTATTATTATTTATTAATTATTGTATCATTTTCCATATGAACAACTGTAAACCTATTTTTGCCCCACCCTGTATGTAAAGTATTCCTGAGTATCATGGCACGTATCAAAGGAAAAAACTACATCTTTTGTTTCAGTAAAATCTTAAATTGTTATGCTATACCTAATATCACATTATCAATCAGTTGTACTGAAGCATATCTGTTTACTTTGAGTCTATAGGAAAGTGTTGACAAAAACTTTCATTTCTGATGAGGTTAAAGAATTTTTTTCCTTCAAGACAGAAAATATTGAACTTTGAAGCAAAACAAAATAAGAGTGTTGTGTGATGCTGTTTTGGCATAACGTGAATCTAACATTTGCATCCCAGGGGGAAATACACCACATTTGTATGCACACACGTCTTAGACCTGGTCGTAGGCCTGGCAGATGGGTTTAGCTGTTCACACTGAGAAGGGCTCTGCATGGCTTCATCAATCAGCATCCTATAACTTTGGCAACCCTAGATGGTTCTACAATGGAACTTTTGATATATTATATACTGCTATATGGTAGAGTTGATTGAGTTGAAACAAACTAAATGGTGTTGTTTTGGGAATTTTTAAAAATTCAGCCAGAGACAGAAATAGAATGACTTTAGAAATAGTTTTTCTGTTTGGGGATGTACAATGCTTAAGTAAAAGAACTGGAAGAATCTGCGTTTTACTGCACGTTTTCTGTTTCATTAGCCACCCCCTTAGCTGCTCCTGATGCCATTATTGAGTCATTCCAACAGCAACAATTAACGACTCTGTTAATATTTATTCCCAGTGTTGAAGATGCAAATGGTCTGGTGAGCACTGACGCAGTTTGGAGTCTTTGGGAGAGAGAATATACCCTCTGAATTGAAAATATTGCCAGTAGTTTTACAGCAATGTTTTCTTCAATGGATATTTTTTATATTCAGTGCATCTTTTTATTGGTCTCTATTACAATAAAAAATAAACAACAACAAAAACAAGTACTCTTCATTGGTTCATTTACTAAAAAATTTACAAGCTAGCAAAGGAGAACATTAAGAAACAATACAGGTTTCTCTTTTGCTCCATCTCTCTTTCTTTCCTTTGTTTATAACAAGTGTAATTGTGGGAGAGAAATAGGTCTGGAGACACGCTCAGAGATGAAATGGCAGAAAATAGGTGAAATTTTAAAACCCCTTTCTCCACTGGCCTTGCTTATACATAATGTCCCTTAACTCTTGGAAGGTTTTATGCAACGTTATTTTAACCAAGAGAGCTGAAAAGCAGAATAGTTTAACGACCTAGTTTATTCAGAGACAGGCCTTTTTAAAAGTCTGTATGTTGACCACAACTATTATATATATGTATGTATATAATAAATATACATTATTTGTGGTTTTATATATTATATGTAATACATACACACATATACATATATATATACACACACTCTCTCTGTGCAATAGGAAAACACAAAACATATACACAGAATTTTCCCCTGATAAAGTGATTTTATACCTAGTGGACAGAATTACTTGAATATGACTCATCTGGGGAGTATAAGTGATTTTGCAAAAGTTGCTTTGGCTGATGTGTAGCTGCTAAAACTTTTTTGCTAGGTTGCTATCATCATTTCTAAATTGTAAAGTGTTGTTATACTCGTATTTCTACTATCGTACCGGCAGGTCAGGCTGGTTTTCATTTTTGTGTTATTGCCCTTACTTTTCTAAATGATATTACAGACTGTAGAAATGTCTGCAACTATAGGCCAGCCTCGCCTATTGTCTGGAGTCTAGACAGGCTATAGAAAAATCTCTGTGACATATAATAGGCCAAACAATTTGTAGGGTTGTTTATCCCTACAAATTTGCTACCGGGGGGAAAAAGATATACTATTTTATTGAGAGTAGGTAATCTTATAATCTTCTAACCCTTCTTTGAATGACCAAAACTCAGGATAGACTTATACATTTGCAGTCCCCTCTGTATTGCTTGATCATATACAAAACAATCGACAGCTCAGAAAAACTCAGCCTTAACAAGGTAATTTTGTCTTAACTATAGTTGTTTTCTTCAATATTTTTGTAAGGTATTTACAAATTACCTCATTTATTTCTGGGGGAAATAAAGGGGAGATGCCTTTTTCTTCTTGCTCATCTCTGTATCCTGTTCTAAGTCTCTGAGACCAACCCTGTAGAGGCTCCAGGCACTAAAAGGAAAGGTGGCTTGTCTAGAGCTGAGCTCAGCCGAAGCCCACTTCTGAGAGGTGGCAGGATCCCTCCAGGGGCAGAGGCCACCGTTGCTGTCGTTCCTGCCGTCTCCTGCAGCAGCCTGGGCCCGACAGAGCATGACCGTGCTTAGGGGAGACGAGAGGGAAGGAGTTTGGGCAGGAAGCGACTTAAAAAATAGAGAGAGGGGAAGAAGGAAAATATGGCATTGAGGATCAGATTGCTAGTAGACGGTGCTCCCGATGTCTGTGTTCAAAATTGGCCCCCTGGTCCCCGTTAAAACTGAACCCCCTCACCAGGGTCATGCTGGCCTTTGGGTGGAAAACCTTGTTCTGTGGAACCGTCCAGGAAAGAAGATGAAATGCTTTTAAATAAGCCTTTTTTTATAGTCTGTATAGAAAGGTAAACGGTAGTTTTTTTGAGAGTACACTGCGTTGATCCATGTTCCTTGGACCTCAGACATGGGAGAGGTGTTTGTGGGAAGACAGCTCACGTCCATTCCCCCGCGGCTGATCCCCTGTGGCCAAGGTCTTGCTCCGAGAGTGAGGCCGGCTCCCGGGTGTGCAGCCTGTGTCGTCTCCTGGGCCCTGTGCTTCCAGGAGCCCTGAGCTTGGCTTAATGCTCTGCTGTCATTTGTCAAGAAAATTTTTAACAGGGCACCCCCCCCTTATTTGCATTTTGCACTGGGCCCTGCAGATTATGTAGCCAATCCTGTCCACGGGAGTATTGCTTTTAATGCCACTCACGATGCAAATCAGAAATGACAAATTTTGGCCTTGACCTAGACCATTACGAAGAAGGGGAAATCTTTAGAAATGTGGTTAACTGAAGTATATGCCATATGTTTTTCTTATTATTACCTATTTCTTAAGACTATTTAAAAATGTTGAATAAAAATAGCAACGACTTTACATTATAAACATCATGAGGCCAATAAAAATAGAGCTGAAACCATACTGGATATTCTGATTCTCCCCACAACCCTGTTTTGATCACATTGTAATTTTAACTGAAAGTGTAATAGAGTTTTGGGAAAGATCTCTGTGATGCCTACTACAGTCAGAGTGGGAGGGACAGCCTTTCTCTGTCCACTCATTGTCAAGAACCCCGTGATAAGAGACTTCTGGGACTACCAATGGAGACATCGCCATTCAAGTCCAGGTAGACCTGCCTAGGGGTGAGACCTGACACTCAACTAGAAGGGCATTGCAGAAAGGGACTCTGGTGTCACCAGTCCTTAACAATCATCTGCCTCACCTCCTGTCCCAGCGGAGGCTGCAGCTGCTGCAGGGAGTCCCAGCACAGTGTCCCCATAATCATGCCCTCCTATTATGTACAATTATCCTCCATGACTTTTAAGGTGATGGCAGAGAGCTGTGGCTTGAATCCAGATTTACTGGTACCATTTATCATGAACTTCTGAAGTGGTAAACAGAGGATTGGGTATGAGCTCACTGAAATTCTCGGGATTGAGTTTGTCCATCCTGCACC